CACAGGAATGCCCTTGAGGTGATCAGACAAGGAAAAGCTTGGAAGTATAACTGCAGACCAGTAGACTTCACAAATACATCATTGCTCATCAAAGTGGTGCTCAGACATGTAAGGCTCCAACAGGGGAAAATGCAGATGCATTTTTGTTCCAGTTTAATGCCAAAATTTTTGTTAAAATTATGTGGGGCTGCTGCTTGCCTGCAATAAGCTATATCCAGCCAGGCTAGAAACCAAGATGCCAGAGAACTCATACCTGAATATATCCTCTGTCCTTCTAGGCCTACCAAAAATAAGCAATAATATCATAGCAAAAGCCTAGCAATAACAAAAAAGGTATTTTACTGATGCCAAGATGCACACCAGTTATGCAGCACTATGGTGAGTAACGGCAGCTAACTCTGAAACAGCTAAAGTAGCAATTCGTGTTTTTACCAATAGATGGACTGGTTGTCATCATCCACGCACTGAAGTATTTGAAATACTTGTAACAAAGCTCAGTGCATCCTACTTTTACATGAGCTCTCTGTCAACCACCAGCTACTACAGGTAGAAGCGTTCTCTGAGCACATAACCCAGAAAGCCAGAGACCAACCCGGCTTTTTCACTGCAAACCTTCTGAAGGCAAAAACTCCTTGAACTGAACTCCTGATGGGATCCTTTTAGTGCATCAGTTACGGCTGCAAAAGGAGGAACAACTCCTTAGAGATGCACTTCTTTGTGCAAACCCCCTTGGATACTGATTTAGTGTTAATAAGAAGAGGAAAATTGATTAAATGCTTGTCTGTAGGACAGAGGTGCTCTCCAGCAGAGAAAGACAGTGCACAGAGAAATAGAATAAATACCCTGCACAGAGAAATAGAATAAATACCCTTTATAGTATCTGAGCTATCTGCTTTGCAGGGGGAAATCTAGCACCATTTTTCTTGCAGTGCTCACTTACAAAACAGAACAAGCGTGTCTGAGATCTGTTATGGTCCTGACGCTGTAGCATTAGTGCCTCTGGGACTGCAGGAGCCCAAAGCAAATGAACATCATAAGCCATGCAGCAAATACTGCTCTAAGTTGGTCTGAAATGCAAGAACCATTCCTGCAGGGGTGGAAGATTTTTTTATTAAAACACCTACAGCACCAGATCCATCACTGATGCCTTCTGCCTTGAGGTGCAGAAGAAGAGACAAAAGGATTTAGCTCACAGGGACCTTGTGAGCATCACGTTAAGAAAGGCTTTGCCTGGAAACAGTATTTTACAGTGATGGTGATCAAACATTGGCATAGGTTGCTCAGAGAAACTGTGAAGTCTCCATCCTTGGCGATACTTAAAACCCAACTGGACATGGTCCTGGGCAATCTACTGTAGCTGACCCTGTTTGAGCAGGGGGGGTGGACTGGACAATTTCAAAAGTTTCCTGCCAACCTTAACTATTTTGTGAAATAGCCTCAATACCCTTTTTCCTATGGCCAGATGAAGATGAGAGCCATGAGGAGGTCCTGCTCCCCTGGGGCAATTCAGTAACCGTGGTGCCTTGTTCTGAGGCTGTATTTTTAAAAGTTTGATGCTTGTATTAAAAAAAACCAACCAACCAAACAAACAAACAAAAATACACAGGTAGTCCAAATAAAAGCCTCAGTCACTAAAGACCTGTGCTGCCACATTTCAGGAACACACCCTGGGAAAAAATGTTTTGGGCTCTGGTAGCACCAGCACTCACCAACTCAGTCAAAGCCCAGATGTACCTCAGAAGACTCCAGCTCCCGTGGGCCAAGCTGCAAGGGGGAGATGGGTTCTCAGGCACCCCAGCTA